TTTTTTTTAACGTTGAGCATCAATTTTATTAAACTGAAACCGGTATGAAGAGATTGCAAAGATTCAAATGAAACACGAGTATGTGTTATACAAACGAAGAACAAAGCTTAAGGTATGGGACTATGAAAATCCCAAAACCTTAAGATGATAATTATCATTATTATCTTGATATTATAATTTGATCATCATATGCTCTTATGTCTATTAGCGAACTCTGCCTCCATAAGAGCATGAAACCACAAAGGTCTTTCACAACCAACGCTTTCAGTGCACTGGTTGCCAGAAAAAGGGAACAACCACAATGCTCCAAGCTTCCGATCTAACTTTTCTTTTATGGCTGGTAATTATTACTCTTCAAAATATGTAGACACCACATCAAAGATCATAATACAAACGTTCCGTTGGGCAAAACACAAAACAACCGAATCTCATCCAATAGGGAAGGAAACAAAGGCAAATGTGTTACCAACAAAATTGACTAAACTCCCAATGATCAAAGCAACTCAAAGTAGACACAAGAATCGAACACCGATAGCAAATCCTCATATTGCAAAGTAGTACTACCTTCCGAAGTAAAAATTCCCAAGCTATTATTCGCTTGACAACCTAAAAACGATACCTCTTCCAACGGAAACCAAAAAACGACAAGCTGTCTAGAAAAACGAACCAAAATCAAACTGCAGATACCTAAACGGATAGAGAGACGTTTTCCGCTGCGAACAACACCGTCATCCTAACCGAGACCGGCGCCATCTCTTCTTTCAAATCAATCACCGGCAGCGACACGGCTCCTCCACCACGAAAAAAAAAAACCAAAAAAATTGAAAATGTGAATCTAAAACTCTACAAACACTAAAATAAAAAAGACGAGGAGACCGGCCACGGTGCTATGGAAGCCACCGTAGCCGGTCCCCAAGCAAGAACGAAGAAGAGTTTTTTTCGTTGAGAGTTTGGCAGCTAGGGTTTTTTTGGTAGATCTATTCAACAAAGTCTCTACAAAACTAACAGTTCTCATAGTTTGTAATCGAATAATAATAAACCCAGACTATTTAAAAAAAAAAAATTAAATTTGTAGATTACCGTTGAACCGGTTCAACCGAAAGGTCCAATATGAGGTTTATTTCTCCTCGTGTTCTTGGACCTAAAACTATGCTTTGGGCCTTTAAATAAGCCCATTTCAAATTAGCGTTTCACCCTCACTTCACTTTTCCGGTTTCTCACTTCCATAAACACAAAAATCCCTTCAACGACCAAATTCGAGGAAACAACAATGGCGACGAATCTCCAGAAACTCTCCTCCCAAATCCACCGTCTCTCTCCATTTGCCAGATCCCTAATCATCCGTAACTCCGCCACATCTGCTCCTGTCTCCGTCGCACCTTCTCCGTCCTCGGGATCGAAGAAAGTCTCCGACCGAATCGTCAAGCTTTCCGCGATCGATCCGGATGGATTCAAGAATGAAATCATTGGGTTATCTGGTCAGACTCTCCTTCGTGCTCTAACTCACACTGGTTTGATCGATCCGGCGTCGCATCGGTTGGATGATATCGAGGCTTGCTCGGCCGAATGCGAGGTCCAGATCGCTGAGGAATGGCTCGAGAAGCTCCCGCCTCGTACCTACGATGAGGAGTATGTGCTGAAGCGTAACTCGAGGTCTCGTGTTATGAACAAGCATTCACGACTTGGTTGCCAAGTTGTGTTAACGCAAGAGCTTCAAGGTATGGTCGTCGCTGTCCCTGAAGCGAAGCCATGGGATATTCCGTAAGTTTTTTTCTCTAAAGGATCTCTCTAATGGTTGGTTTCGTTCTCAAATTTGGCAATAAAACTCGCATTGGAAAAAATTTGGTACTTTTTGCAGATAAACTGGATTTGAATCTGTAATCTCCTTTTTACAACTTTGAATTTTGTAATGTTGGTAAAGAACTTGCTTGTTTAAACGATTCCCTGCTTCAAGTATGGGTTGCCTTGCAATTCAATGTTGCTTTTTCTTGATTTCATTATATTGTTTCTATCTCAAATGATTTTGCTTTCTGCTTCTTTCACTGTTTTTAGGTTCTAGCAAAAACGTAGGGAGATTATAGTGTTATATGTCTAATGGTTAGTAAACGCAATATGGAAAATTCAAGAAGGTTAAAGAACACATTGTGTCGAATTGCGGTTACATGGTATTGATTTCTGTTGGGTCTCTCAAGCTCAATTAGCCAAGATCTTTAGGTATAGAGAAAGAGGAGATTGCACGTAGAATGCTGTTCGGTCTCTCAAGCTCAATTAGCCTAGTTCTTTAGTTATAGAGAAAGGGGGAGATTGTACGTAGAATGATGTGCCTTTTTCATTTCTATCATCCTGATAACTAGTTCTGCATCTTTCGTGAGGCTGAGATAACGTAGAATGGACTCTGAGCTTGATTATCGCGGATTCTTCGTTTAGGGGAATGGATGTAGCATCTTTATATCGACGGTTTGGTAGATTTGATTCGAAGCTTGTGAACTCTGTTTGTAGGATCAGTTCTTGTACATGTTTTTTTTTCTGTGGGAAGAGTGATTCAGTAATAACATTGAGGATAGAGTGGTTAGCTATTATTTTTTCCAAGCCGCTTAGATTTCTGTAAACCTTGGCGATTAGTTTTCTAGATGTTGAAAGTTTGTGGTTTTGTTATTAAAATGGAGTTGAGCATTGTTAGCTTTTTGGCCTGAGTTTAGAGACTCGTCATTAATCTTTCTAAAAAGTAAGCCATACATCATGAACAAAACTTCAGGAAAATTTTGTCTCTGAAAAGCGAAGCTTTAGTAGAAAATTATAGAAACACTCGGGAACATGGTGGTGCTTTTTTTTTAGTTTTAAAAATAAAAATGGTGTATGATTCTTAAACATAATTCATGTTGAGACAAGATAGTTACTCAAATTGGGAACACATGATAAAATGTGAACCAGAACATGTAAAAAACTCGTTCGTTGCAAGATCTAAACAAAACCCATTTAAAAAATGCGAAAGCTTACTAAAATCCATCAATTCATTCGACAGAAAATTACTTCCGGATCAAAGTCAGGACGACCACTAGTAGAGTTAAACCGAGTCTATTAAACCAATCAAGTTTACTCTTAAGAAAATATAAAATAATTTACTTTCCAAAAAAGCAGAATAAAAAGTAAGATGAGTATAAAAACACCAAAATCCAAATCAAATTCTGCTGCTTCATCTATAAACGAACAAGAAACCAAACGTAATAAAATTAAACTTGTAATTCTGCTTCTTCTCTTTGACGTCGAGGAACCGGGGCCAACTTGGATTATAGGTGCAATGCAAAGACCAATGACCAACCACAGACTCTATTCGAGTTTTGCTAATCAGTTTATTTTCCCCCATAACATAGATCCAAACACGACCAGTTTCATCGCAACAACACACGACAAGCCTTTTATTGTCGATGAGGTAACTTGGTTGAGAGTCGGATCCTGTTGGTACTAAATCCGGCAAGTTAGGAATTGAAACTTGCATGAAAGTCATCCAAACCACATCATCACCATCATTGTTAATCTTGTTCTTGGTCACCCAAATCTCAATCTTCTTTGTCGCGTGGCATTGTTTTAGCAACGAAAACCGATCTCCCTTAAAAACCTTRAGGACAAGARCATCSYGTGGATKGTTCKTCMGACATGGTAGATCACAAAAGTAGAAAAATTTCTGCCTCGGAAAACCAAACTGAACTAGGTGGTACAAGGGATCAGTCTTGTTATAATAAGCAATCCAATACAAATTTCCATTCAACGATACAGCAGCACTATTGGTGTGTGATGTAGGACGTTTGGTTACATGAACCCGAGTAGTACCACTAGATTCCGACTGGGTTTGGTCTTTCCACGCATCCGTGGCAGAGTCATGGATTTTCCATATTACCTCATTAGTTCGGTTCCAATAAGAAGCTAATGTCTTGTAAACATTTTCCTTAACTCTCCCATCATAACCTATGCCACTGAATTCCAAAGCAGCTGATTGGCTAACCTCGGGCATGATCACTCTGGTCTGATTCAACCACGGGTTCCACACCACGACTCCTTTATCAATGCAACGACATAGCAAAAACTCGTTGCAGTCAACCAAGTTTTCACGTTTTTGAGATTCTAAACCGGGAATATCCAACGTTAGCTCACGTACCACTACCTCGGGATCGATGCTTACCGAATAAATCTTGGATTTGGTCGTCAAGACGAATCGAAACATCGACTTGTGGTTGTTGAGAAACGTCTTGTCTGCGAAGAGAGCGTTCCATTTCTTGGAAACGGTTCTGAAGCAAACAAGAGACTTTGGAGGGACACGGTAGAGTATCTCTTCGGTCAACTCCCATGGAAGCTTCTCTTCGTGCGCCATTTTTTGTCGGATCATGTATCTCCCGATTAGGGTTTCTCAGCCGCCGAATGTTTTCGTAAAATATATATTGAGATTTTACAAAATTGGGTGAAGCCGAAACAAATATTTAATGAAGTAGCCCAATATTAAGTGACCAACAACCCACAAATTAACGTGAGAACCATGATTAATCCAGATATACAAAAATCAACCGGTTTTGAACCACTTTGTAATTCACCAAAGTCGAGTTAAACCGAGTCAATCTAGTTTACTCTTAAGAAAAAAATAAAACGTGGACTCTTTAGCAAAAGAAGCTTTAATGAAGTTTGCCTTTTTGTAAGGACTCTTTTATTCTAATGAATGAATTTGGTTTGTCC